TCTGAGGGTTAGAGGATAGTCACATATCAATATTAATTTCCCAATTTTGATGGCTGTATGTTGGCTGTCTAGGAGAACTTTTTGTTTGTTTATTTCAATAGGTTTTTGGGGGAACAGGTGGTTGGTTACATGAATAAGTTATTTAGTGGTGATTTCTGAGATTTTGGTGCACCCATCACCCAAGCAGTGTACACTGTACCCAATGTGTAGTCTTTTATCCCTCAGCCCCCTCCTCCCCTTTCCCATGAGTCCCCAAAGCCTATTGTATCATTCTTATGCCTTTGCGTCCTCATAGCTTAGCTCCCACTTATGAGTGAAAACATATGATGTTTGCTTTTCCATTCCTGAGTCACTTCACTTAGAATAATGATTTCCAATTCCATCCAGGTTGCTGCGAATGCCATTATTTCATTCCTTTTTGTGGCTGAGTAGTAGTTCATTATAGATAGATAGATAGATAGATAGATAGATAGATAGATAGATAGATGCATACACACACATATATATGTATGTATATATATGTGTATATATATGGTTTCATATTTTTGTAATTCTGAACTGTGCTGCTATAAACAGGCATATGCAAGTATCTTTTTTGTATAATGATTTATTTTCCTCTGGGTAGATACCTAGTAGTGGGATTGCTGGATGAAATGGTAGTTCTACTTTTAGTTCTTTAAGGAATCTCCACACTGTTTTCCATGGTGGTTATTCTAGTTTACATTCCCATCAGCAGTGTACAAGCGTTCCCTGTTCACCACATCCACGCCAACGTTGATTATTTTTTTATTTTTTGATTATGGCCATTCTTGCAGGAGTGAGGTGGTATCACATTGTGGTTTTGATTTGCACTTCCTTGATCATTAGTGATGTTGGGCATTTTTTCATACGTATGTTGGCTGTTTGTATATTTTCTTTTGAGAATTGTCTATTCATGTCCTTAGTGTCCAGGAGAGGTTTTAAAAATCACACCAAAGCGTTCAGGGGTGATGAGGTATGAGGTGGCAATTACTTTCAAATGGTTCAAGAAAAATATTCTTTGTACTGTACTTGCAACTTTCCTGCACATTTGTGATTGCTTTAAAAAAAGGAAAAGGAAAAGGGGGGGAAAAGCCGATGATGTTCTGAGACTCGCTGCGCAGCCTGAGGCCAGAAGGACTCATCCGCCTGCTCCATGAGATATTGTTTCCTTGGAGCTGTAGCTGCTTTCTGGAGCAAGAAAGACATTGAATCTGGCTTTTCTTCAAGTTAGCTACAAAATGGGGAGTTGGGGAAGCCTGGCTTGTCTGTATCAGGTGGCTGTGGGCTCTTCTTGGCAGCAGCTTGGGAGTTGCAGAGCGAGGGGCTAAACAAGGGCACCAGTGCAGCCATCAGTGTGCCTTGCCAGGGAGACCTAAAGCTGGTCTCTGAGGTCTGGGGAGGTCTCCACTTCTCCCAGGTGGCTCCTGGAGAGCCAGGCCTCCCTGAAGTTACCTTGGCCTCCCAGCTTTTTTCGGCTGGGTGTAGGCGTGACAGTCCTGGCCGCCTCCAGCAGAGGGCGCGCTGCTCAATCTGTCTGGATCTCGGGGACCGTGCCCGGCAGGCACGCCCGTCACTCCTGGGGGCATCTGTATGACATCCCCACCCCTCCGCACTTTCTGCCATGGTTGCTGCCTGAAAAGAACTTTAGGAGCAACCTCTGACTGGGTAACTTGACTAAAATCGCTAAGCTACTCCAGAAGCAAGAGGCAAAGGCAGGTCTGAAGCTCGTGTGTGAGAAACACAGTCTCTGACCCTTTTCTGTGGAGTTTTGTGTCCCACTGAGTGCTGAGAGGACTAAGTGTGGCCCATAAAGAAGGCTGCTCCTATCACAGGAAAGTCCTGGAATTGCACCTGCCCTTAAAGAAGAGTGTAGAACAGGTGGAGGAGTGATGACTATGCCAGCCAGCAAATCGCTGCTGCAGAAGAAGGAATAAATAGAATGGACATCACGTGTGAATGTGAGAAACTTATGCTGTTTCTACAAAATGAGTATGAGGCTGTTCTTAAGTGTGTGCAGGATGAACATATAGATAGTTTTGCAAAACAAAATGAAAACCCCATAAAATGTGCACATCGTGTTTCCACACAAATACACCTACTGAGGGGGAGGAAAGGGTGCAGAGTCAGAGCTGAAACCAATGACAGATATTTTTATGGCAGGCATAAGCGAACAACAGATATTTTATAACAAGCATAAAAACCTAAAACACTTTTATCATTTGGGTTAAAGAAAGATGACTGTGGTCTTCCTCCACAATATTCTGACCTACACGAAATTATCATGGTAATTCAGATAGATGTAACTCTAGATTCTCAATGTGTTGTCTCTGAGGAAGGAAATGTTGACAAAACACAACCTTCATCGTGACCCATGGGGTGATACTCTGCTGAGCTGTCCCAGCTTCTAAGAGATTTAATTCAGGCCAGCCGGAGGAGGTAGAAGTAGGAAACAAGCCCAAATCAATCACGAAGGCTTGTCAGGAACACAAGGAATCAGCTTTCAGTAGAAAATAGATTCTGGGCAGCTGGGTGATATGTTGAGAGAAATTATGTTACACTGGGTCCCAACAAAATCCAGCTTCTGCCAAAAGAGAGATCCAGTAAGACTGGCATGATACCAGACTATGAGTTGAGCAAGATTTCAGCCTATAATTGGAATGTTAGATCTCATCATTGCTTTGGTTCTTGTTTGTTTGTTTGTTTTGAGATGGAGTTTTGCTCTTGTTGCCCAGTCTAGAGTGCAGTGGTGTAATCTCGGCTCACTGAAACCTCCACCTCCCGGGGTCAAGCAGTTCTCCTGCCTCAGCCTCCCAAGTAGCTGGGACTAGTAATGCGTGCCACCATGCTCAGCTAATTTTTGTAGTTTTAGTTGAGACGGGGTTTCACCATGTTGGCCAGGCTGGCCTTGAGCTCCTGACCTCACGTGATCCATCCACCTCAGTCTCCCAAAGTGCTGGGATTACAGGTGTGAGCCACTGAGCACCTGGTTTCATCGCTGTATTTTTGATGATTCTTTTAAAGAAGCTCTTTGGCCTTCTTTCTGTATTGGAATTGATCCTAATCCTCTTAAAATCTGCCTAGCAACAGATGAGGGATTAACTACCCAGAAGATGATCGTGTTGTTTCATTTTCTTTCAGGTGTAAATATAACTCAGCCAGTAAATTTAGCCTCGATAATTTTGTTTTTGTTTTTACAGTTCTGCCTCTAAACACCAGAATAATTTCCCCCCACTTTTAACAATTATTTGCAAAAGCATATTAATAATACCAGTTTCATAGAGGTTATGAGAACCAATTCTAACAAGTCCAGCAAAATTTTTGACGAGGGTATTAAGACCGTGAAATGGGGAAAGAACAGCCTTTCCAACAGATAGTGCTGGGAAAACTGGATATTCACATGCAAAAGATGCAGGTGGACCCTTACCTTATACTAGCTGCATAAAGTAACTCTAAACAGATCAAAGGCCTAAAAATAAGAGCTAAAACTATAAAACTCTTAGAAGAAAACATAGGGGAAAACATTACAACACTGGATTTGATAATGATTTCTCAGATATGACTTGAAAAACACAGGCAACAAAAGAAAAAGAAGACATCAATCAGACTACATCAAAATTAAAAATTTCAGTGCGTCAAAGGACACAGTCAACAGAGTGAAAAAGTGACCTACAGAGGGGGAGAAAATATTTGCAAATCATATACCTGATAGTTAATATCCAAAATATATAAAGAACTCCTACAACTCAACAACAAAAGGAACAACCTGTTTAAAAATTAACTAGACAGTTCTCCAAAGAAGATATACATGCAGCTAACAAGCACATGAAAAGATCATTAATCATTAATCATTAGGGAAATGTAAGTCAAAACCATGATGTGATACTACCTTATACCCATTAGCATGGCTGCTATCAAAACAAAATAAAACAGAAAAAGTATTGGCAAGATGTGGAGAAATTAGAACTCTTGTGTACTGTTGCTGGGAATGTTAAATGGTGCAGTCACAATGGAAAACAAAATGGCAATTCCTCAAAAAATTAAAAATAGAATTACCATGTGATCCAGTATAATTCCATAATTCCACTTTGTGGGGTATATACCCGAAAGGATTGGAAGCAGGGTCTTGAAGAGATATTTTCTTACACTCATATTTATGAGTAACACTATTTACAATAGGTAAGAGATGGATGGAAGCCACCCAGATGTCCATCAACAGATGAATGGATCAACAAAATGCAGGATACAGATAGCAATGGACTATTTATTCTGTCTTAAAAAGGAAGAAAATTCAGACACATGCTACAACATGAAGGAACCTTAAGAACATTATGATAAGTGAAATAAGACAATCACAGAAAGACAAATATTGTATGATTCCACTTATAGGAGGTTCCCAGAGTAGTCAAAAATGCATAGAGAGAGAAAGTAAAATGGTGGTTGTGGAGGCTGGTGGGAGGGGAATGGGGAGCTACTGTTTAATGGGTGTAGAGTTTCAACTTTGCAAGATGAAGAATTCAGGAGATGCGCTTAATACCACTGAACTGTATATTTTTAAATGGTTAGATGATAAGTTTCGTTTTATGTGCATTTTGCCGCAATTTAAAACTTTAAAAGGTAACAATTTAAAAATGAAGCAACAGAATGAGTTTCCATTTATTGACTATCATAGTGGCAAAGATAAGTAAAATTAACAATTCTGAGTGATGGAGAGGGTTAAGGAAAAAAGGAACTATACATCTGGTTATTGTATAACTCGTCTTGAGGGGAGCGATCTGAAATATGTTTATCAAAATGTCAAAACTGTAGCCCTTGACCAAACGAGGGGGCCTTCATGTCCTGAACTTCTGGGCTATGTTTGCTGGCTCTGAGTGAACTCAGCTTCAAAAAACGCCCTGAGATGCTTACAAACCTTGGGAATGGGGGCTCACTGTCAAACCGCAACCTTGGGAATGGGGGCTCACTGTCAAACCCTGGGAATGGAGGCTCACTGTCAAACCCTGGGAATGGAGGCTCACTGTCAAACCCTGGGAATGGGGGCTCATTGTCAGTGTGGGTCCAACCTGGGCAGAACTGCCCGAAGCCACTGGGTTGAAATGAGAGTTGGCCAAAGAGTGTGTGGCGGGGCCCATAAGGCGCCTGCTGCAGGAGGGAGGGAGGACAGTGGGAGCAGGTGCAGGCTTGGGTCTTGGGTGTAGGCCCCAGCTGGGAAGACGAATGCATTCCTAACTTATGACTTCTGTTTTCCCAATCCAGTGGGAAACGTCACCACCTGAGAGTGGAGACAGGGCAATTCTGAGGAGAAAGGAGACCGTGTGGAGAGTTGCTCAGGCGGGCCAGCCTCTTGAGAAAGGACCGGGAGAGCTGGGTGGTTCTGAGGCTCTTTGGGGCTGGTGGTCCTGAGTTTTCAGTGGCTCCCTTTTGCGCAGTGTGGACTGGGCTCCAGTGGTTCTCAGTTGCACAAGGCAGGAGCAGAGGAGGCAGATGCTATGTTCAGCCCTGATACTGATCTGGATAATGTGGCTTTTGAGGACGAGAGGAGGCTGAGAGTATAAAGTGGTGAGGGCAGCACCAGCCTCCACACACGGCTGCAGTGAGGACAGAATGCCACTGTGTACAGAAGTGACAGCACAGTTCCCAGGTGCTAGACAAAGCTTCATGCCATCCTACCTTCCCCTTCCCATCCCACCATCCCCTGAGAGCATGAAAGCTGAGATTCCTGGATGGAAGTGGAGTCACCCCCACAGAGGGCACCTGTCCTGTGGCAATGGGGCAAGTTTCAGGGTCCCCACCTGCTCCCCAAAGCCCTTTGCTCCACCACCTCTTTGCCCCTTGCAGAGATTGGTGTGGGGATCACCGGTTTCGGCATCTTCTTCATCCTCTTTGGAACACTCCTGTACTTTGATTCCGTGCTCCTGGCCTTTGGAAACGTGAGTCCCCCAGCCCTATGTCCCCACTCCCCTGCCCCAACCTTTCTGAAGTCTCTATTGCCAGGATAGTCCTGGCAATAAAGACTTAAAGTTTATTTAAGTCTTTAAATAAATCCCTTAAATAAATCCCAAGTTTATTCAGACCATGCCTATCCAGGGGTCAGACATCATCAAGCCTGGGCGGAGGAGGGCACAGGAAATGGACACAGAGCCTGCGGCACCAAGAATCTGAGGACCTGGATTCTCACACCAAGCTCTGCAGGAGACCCTGGGGGTTCTGAGGGGACTCAGACACTGTCCCTGCCATCTGAATCCCACTCTAGGGCTAGAGATATAGCATGACATATATGGCTGGGAGGAAGGCAGGGGCCACGGTAAACACATTTAATATGAAACAAGGGGCTTGGTGGAAAGAGGGCGCACTGAATTGGGGGAGGGTGGAGAGGAATTTGGAAAGGAAATGGATGTGGAGGTGAATAAAGCACTTCCAGGTGGGTTGGAACAGCAGGAGAGAAGGTGTGGGGAAGGAGCAGGGAAGCATGGGATATGCTGGAAGAAAACCAGAGAGTTCAATTTGACGACAGCCTGGGCACTCTTAAGGGATCATTAGGAGCCAAGCTGAAGACAGTGATAGGGTATCCAGGGGAGGGCCTGGAGGGTTATTCTGTAGGCGGTGGAGCCTCTGAAGGTTCTGTGTGACTTTCAGTATGGCTGCCTAACCTACTTAGGCCTCAATCTTCACTTCTCTCAATAAAAATCCCACCTGATTCCATCTTCCCTAGATGGTATGGTGAGAAACCAAGTCCCATATGAAAGAGTGCTTGGGCTTCAGGGAATTGGGAGGGCAACTAGAAACCGTCAAAAGTTTCTCATCCATCCCCCTGCCTCTGTGCAGTCCTGTTCCCAGCCAGCAAGACTTATCAAGGCTCTGGGATTCTGCCACATTGCTGGACTGCCCTCGCTCAGATGGTCTTAAAGAGTTAGCACGTCCTGCCCCTGCCCACCACCTGGCTCCAGGCCTATGCCCCCAACTCCTCAGGGAGCTGGTGGGTTTGCTTCATGCTCTCCTCCCTCCCCTACAGCTGCTGTTCCTGACGGGCCTCTCCTTCATCATCGGCTTGAGGAAGACCTTTCAGTTCTTCTTCCAACGGCACAAACTCAAGGGAACCAGCTTCTTCCTGGGGGGTGTGGTTGTCGTGCTCCTACGCTGGCCCCTCCTGGGTATGTTCCTGGAAACCTACGGATTCTTCAGCCTGTTCAAGTGAGTGCAAATCCCTATAACCCTGGACAGACCCACCAAAGCATCTGAGTGGCTGAGATCACCCCAGCAGGCAGTGCAGAAGCTGGGACTTTATCCTGAAAGAGATGAGAACCATGGACACTTCGGAAAGGCCCCCTAAAGTAGGCTGAAGGGTACTTTGGAGGGATTAGCCCATCCATCAACAAATATTGATAGAGTGCTGACTGTGCTTCCAGCACTGTGCCTATGAGCAGGGAACAGACACGAGGCCTGCCCTCAAATCCAGCCAGAGAGGAAGGGCAGTGAGCTAACATGTTCCAGGCACGCTCATGATCATCATCTTATTTTATCACGACAACCCACACTAGGATTATCCTCTACTTCACAGATAAGGAAACCAACGCTCAGAGAAGTTGCCCCTGCCCCGAGGTCTGAAACTAGTATGTGAAAAAGGTCGCCCTTGACCCAGGGGGCTCTGGCTCCTGACCCCTGTGTCATCCCCTGGCCTGACCTGTGTCAGCCCTGGGCTTGGGAAAAGGCAGGGTGGAACTCAGTCATGATGTGTGGCCACTGTCAGGCCTGTAGGCACTCAGAGGGGAGCCCAGGGTAATGTCATAGAGGAAGCAGGACTTGAGAGAAGCCTTGAGGGATGGGCAGAGTCTAAGAGAAGACTGGAGGGTACTGAAGGAAAAGGAAGGAAGGGGTCTCAGAGAAAGTGGGGTTGGGAAGGAAGGCTTCATATCTCTACAGGGTAATGTGGAGAGAATCGGGGTGGGATGGGGACAGTGGAGACTGGAAGAATGGTGGCTTCTGCAATCATGGAAAGGAGTGGGGCTCAGGAATCCCTGGGTTCTCATAGGAGCCCCCGTTTGCTGAATGTAGCCCTGAAACCCCCCGATTAGCCTGAATGGCCTAGGCCTCAGAGACTTCAGGAAGTGTGGCTTTAAATTTTCTCATGCATACCTGCCATCTATTTATTCCATATTCAAATATGTCTTTTATGCCTGGGCGCAGTGGCTCACGCCTGTAATCCCAGTACTTTGGGAGGCCGAGGCAGGCGGATTACTTGAGGTCAGGAATTCGAGACCAGCCTGGTCAACATGGTGAAACCCTGTTTCTACTAAAAATACAAAAAAAAAATTAGCTGGGCTTGGTGGCAAGCGCCTGTAATCCCAGCTACTCAGGAGGCTGAGACGCAAGAATCGCTTAAACGCAGGGGGCAGAGGTTGCAGTGAGAGAAGATCGCACCATTGCCTCTAGCCTGGGTGGCAAAGCGAGATTCTGTCTCAAAAAAATATATATATATATGTGTGTGTGTGTGTGTGTGTATATATATATGTGTGTGTGTGTGTGTGTATATGTATGGCATTTTCAAACAGTCACTTATTCAAATTGTCAAATACATAATAAGCACCTACTGCATGCCAAATACGGGCCAGGTGTGAGGATGTGGCATTGAATGAGGAGAAAGTTCCTACGGAATTTACAGTTTAGTAGGAAGACCCATAAATAAATTCTGACAACAGTTAGCATTTATGGAGGGCTTAGAAAGTGAAGTGGGACAGCAGCAGATTTGATAGTTGAAACTGAAAGTCAGCCTTGACAAAGACACTGTGCAGTAACAGAGAAGGGGCAAACAAATTACAGCTATCAGGGACCTCAGAGTGCAGTGAAGCCTTGGGAAATTGAGGCCCACGGTAAGGAAGTGGCTCAGCCAGAATCCATATTTCAAATCTCCCTTCCCATCCGCAACACACCGGGATCCCTTCTCATGCCAGCCTCAGCACCTCCAAGTCCTGTGAGGGGTCACGCATGTGTCCACAGTCAGGCCTTGGCAGGGTATCTTTGATGAGAGCAGGACTGCCAAAGGCAGGGGTGGCTGTATGCCTGGGGGAGCCAGGGCACCAGGGAGTATAACGGTGAGCACGGCTTCCAACAGCCGCCCATGCCGAGGGTCCAGGACACCCGGGTCAGGTGGATCTCAGGAAGGTAAGAAAACTTCCGGCCAGAAAAGTAGTAATAATCATGACAGTAACAATAAAAATAAGCACTTCCTGACCTTTTCTTTGTACATGGCCTTATGATGTAGACACTGTTATTGTTAGCCACATTTTATGGTTGGAAACTGAGATTCAGAGATGTTAAGGAATTTGCCCAAGTATATATGGTGCCAGTAAGTGGTAGAGCCAAGATGTGAACCCACGGAGTGTGACCCTAGGGCCTTCATTCTTAATCATGTCACTCGACTGCCTCTCGGAACACAGGAGTGCAGAACCAAGCCTGCCCCTGGTGCACAGAAGCCACAGCTTGAACCTTTTGGTGGACCTCAGCCTCCTGCCCTCTATCCTCCCTTCCTGCGCCATCACTGACTCCTCCCTTCTCCCCTCTGCTCCTAGGGGCTTTTTCCCTGTTGCCTTCGGCTTCCTGGGCAATGTCTGCAACATCCCCTTCCTGGGTGCGGTAAGCAGATGATGCCTGCGGCCCTGCAGGCATGCCCTGGGGAGTGAGGGGGAGCACGCGGAGGGGAGCTGGTAAAACTGCTGTCCCAGGGGCAGTGGCCCCTCCCCTGTCTCCCCTCAGACTCCCTAGCCCAGGTTTGGTGCTTTAGGCTCCTCTTCCCCCTACACCTTCTCCATTTGACAAGAGCCCAAGGTGGGAGGGGATCCAGATGCAGTTGTAGCTGAGCGTGGCCGTAGAGGAAGGTAGCTATGAATAGCTTCCTGTTTACAGCCAAAGAAATGAAGATGCAGAGACTCTAGGTGACTCAGTGGGGACATGCCTGAGATTTCTGGGGATCTGGCTAAGTGCGGACCCCAGGCATGGAGAGAATGGATGACAGCCGATGACAGCAGGAAAAGCTGTCCTGTAGGTGACAGATTTTGTCCTCTCTTGGGGATAGACACAGCCAGTGGTAACCAGCCCCTGCCCCTCCTCATCCCTTTCTCTGAAGCACCTGGCAGAATGTGAGCTCTCTGAGGAGCCCAGGGAGACCCTACAGCCAGCACCCCATCACAAGCGCCAGCTGGACACAGCCCCTGCAGCCCCTCTCGTATCTGTGCCTGGCACAGCTCCTGGCTCTCAAGGCCAGCTCTGTAATAACTAGATATTGCATCTGCCCTCTACCCTTTGTCTGGAGTAATGATTCTTGGCTCCCACAGCTGTTCCGGAGACTTCAAGGCACTAGCTCGATGGTCTGAACAACAGAGATGAGCTCCTTGAACTTGGATCATTGGTTGAGGGGGCTGGAGAGAGAATGGGAACCACCCCCTCAGTCCCCCGCACTGACTCACTCCCGGTCATATCTGGACCTCCCCAAGTCCAGAAGGAAGGATGGAGCTGAGCAACTGACGTCAAATCCCCAAGTCGACTCAAGAGGCTGCCAGGAAGCAGAGACGCAGAGCCCCAAGGAGATTGGACTGGGGCTGGCATCACACCCTCACTGTATATTTACGGGAGGAAAAGTGAAGATTAAATTCCCAAGCTGTGCGTGTGTCTAGGGCTCAAAGTTGGCGTCTTTGGCCAGGCACGGTGGCTCACACCTATAATCCCAGACCTTTGGGAGGCTGAGGTGGGCAGATCACCTGAGGTCAGGACTTCAAGACCAGCCTGGCCAACATGGTGAAACCCCATCTCTACTAAAAATACAAAAATTAGCCGGGCGTGGTGGCAGGTGCCTGTAGTTCCAGCTACTCAAAAGGCTGAGGCAGGAGGATTGCTTGAACTGGGGAGGTAGAGGCTGAAGTGAGCTGAGATCGCACCACTGCGTTCCAGCCTGGGCAACAGAGCCAGACTCCATCTCAAAAAAAAGTTAGCGTCTTCAGCCCATTAAGTCCACCTCCTGCTTCAGGGCAGGCCAACGTACATGTCATCCCCATAGCGAAGTTTTGGTCTGTGAGGGTCAGTGCTGTCCTCATAGGCTATCATTTCTCTCCTGGTGTTTAACAGCCCTAATGGGTGTGATAATAATACGTTTGCAAGCCCTGTTAACAGTAAGCACCAGACAAATAAGGGGTGCTAACCTGCAGACTGCCAGCATGCTTCTCCAAAATTAGGGAACCACCAGGTCGAGCTTGTGCTGGGAGAGCATCCTGTCTGAGGGTAGAGACAGAGCCCCTGCCTTCAGAGACTCCCAGCCTGAAAGAAGAAACAGTCCCTGCCCTGGAGAGCCCCTTGTCCAAGGGTATAGAGAGTTCTTGCAGGCTCAAGAAAGAGACAAAAGTCACTTGCGATGCATGCAGTTAGCAAATATCTATTGAGGGCCCTCTCTGTATGTGCCTAGCAACGGAGTGGGTGCCGAGGGTACAGGGGGAAGGGAGCCTGTCCCTGTCCTCAAAGTGCTGTACCTGAGCAGTCACAAAATGGTATGGTGGTGGGTGCCATGAGACAAGGAGGTGGGGCCCCCAAGCAGGCTGGCTGGATGTACTGCCACCTGGAAGTCCCCTCTCTGCACCCCTGGCACTTCCCAGGTGCATCCACCTTCTAGAGCTCCCATTGCATCCTCCTTGCTCATAGCTGGCTGCTTACCTAAGGTCTCTGACGATGCCATAGCGTATTCACCTCAAAACCCTGTGCTGAGGAAGTGCTCAGTAACCAAGGAAAGAAGGGAAGCAGGAAGGAAGAAAAAAGGAGAGAATCTCCGCCACCTCCACCCTGCGCCAGTCACAGGGCCCAGTCTAGGAGCCGCCTGGAGACCCACGCTGACCTGGCTTTGAGGAGTCCCTGGATCAGCCTGTGCCCTTCTCCTCCCGTCTTCCTATCCTTTTCTATGTCTAATTCGGACTAGGTGTGTTGGTGGCTCTTGTCAGAGAGGAAACAAGACATTTCACACTGATACCTCTCCCTGCCCTCCTCAAATAGCCCATTTCCATGTTGTTTGGGGGCAGGACGGGGTCCTCTGGGTGGGAAGAGGGTGTGGAGGATGGAAAGAGCCTGTGAGAAGGAGAAAGTCCCACCTCGGAGGGCTCGGGGTGGGGTGGGAGGAGAGGCTGCTTCCAGTCACAGAGCCCGGAGGCAGAGGCCTTCCAAGGTGCTGTGCTCTCCAGGAGGGTCTGAGGAGGAGGGAGGGGCGGCAGAGTGGGCCTGTACTTAGAGACGTCACCCTGGGCTTTATAAAAGGAATGTGATCAGGGAGCTGGGGAGAGTGAGCCTGGGAGCCCAGCTACCCACCCTCTGGACGTTCACCCAGCCAGGTGGTCTCATCACAGAGGCTCCGCCAGACTCCCGCCCAGGCCAGGACTGAGGCAAGGTAGGCACACTGCGGCGTCCACCCTCGGGAAGGGGGTCTGCCCTGACCTGGGGATGCTCCAGAGGGGAGCAGGGAATCCGTTCTAAGATGGACAGATGCTTCCGGGCAGGCAAAGGCAGGGGAGGGAGACACTGATCTTTCCTGTTTACCGGCCTAGCCAGATTACCCTGGGATGCCTGGGTGAATACACTGAGTTGCACTTTATTTGTGAAGCTAGCACTCTGGGGATCCCGAGGGCTCTCTCTTGCTGTGGCTGGAACTGGAGACCACAGACACTCGGATGGAGCTGGGGAACCCCTCAGGGCTCCCGAGAGCAATGGGGCTCCTCTGAGCAGCTCCCCTAAATTACGGATGGCAAACACAAGCCTCACCAAGGGCACCTACCTCCCTACCCACTAAGAACTAGGGGCCACCTCACTCCAAAAGCTTTCCAACCATGCCTGGAATTTCTCTGTTACTCACTGGATACAAATCCCCCAGGGTGGAGGGAACCACAAAAATTGTCTACAGCAGGTCGGCCACTCATGGCCCCTTTCCAGATAATTCATTTCTACCACATATATCAAGTGCCCTGAAGGGCTGGGCAGTGAACGAAGAGTTGAGGGAATCTGTGTGTGTGTGTGTGTGTGTGTGTGTGTATGATGTGTGCATATGGGTGTATGTGTGTATGTGTGTGATGTGTGTGTGCATGTGTAGTGTGTGGTGTGTGTGTGTGTATGATGTGTGTATGGGTGTATGGGTGTATATCTGTGTATTGTGTATGTGCATGTGCGGTATGTGTGGGGTGTGTGTATGTTGTGTATGTATGGATGTATGTGTGTGTATGTGTGTGTGTATGATGTGTGTATGGGTGCATGTGTGTATATTGTGTGGTGTGCATGCACGTGTGTACTGTATATGTGTGTGCATGGATGTATGTGTGTATGTGTGTGTATGATGTGTGTGTATGGGTGTATGTGTGTGTGTGTATGATGTGTGTGGGTGTATGTGTGTATGTGTATGGTGTGTGTGTGGTGTGTGTGGTGTGTGTGTGTTTGGGTGTAGGTGTGTATATGTGTGTAGTGTGTGTGTATGATGTGTGTATATGGGTGTATGCGTGTAAATGTGTGTGATATGTGTGCACGTGTGTGGTGTGTGTGTATGATGTGTGTATGGGTATATGTGTGTATATGTGTGTGGTGTATGTGTGTATGTGTGGTGTGCGTGGTGTGTGTGTATGATGTGTGTGTATGGGCGTATGCATGTATATGTATGTGGTGTGTGTGTATGATGTGAGTATGGGTGTATGCATGTATATGTGTGTGGTGTGTGTGTGTATAGTGTATGATGTGTGTATATGGGTGTATGCATGTATATGTATGTGGTGTGTATGCATGTGTGGTGTGTGTGGGGTGGGTGGATGGTGTGTGTATGTGGTGTGTGTGCATGTGTGGTGTGTGTGGTGTGTGTGTATAATGTGAGTATGGGTGTATGGGTGTATATGTGTGTGGTGTGTGTGGGGGTGTGTGTGTATGATGTGTGTGTATGGGTGTATGCATGTATGTGTGTGTGGTGTGTGTGTGCATGTGTGGTGTGTGTGGTGTATGTGTGTGGTGTGTGGTGTGTGTGTGTGTGTATGTGTGCCAGGGTCAGGCAGAGTTCTCCCTTGGCGCACATGGTAAGTGCATCCACAATGGGAAGGAGACACTCGGTGGGGGAAAGGGGAGCAGGAAGAAAGAGCACCACCCTCCAACCGCACAAGCCCACTGCCCTCCTTCCTCGCCCACCACCCTGCTTCTGCACAGAGAACCAGAATGCTCCATCTGAAATGTACATCTACACACATTCCTGTCTGGCTCAGACCCCTCCAGGATGAAGCCCCCGCAGGGCCCCTTCCCCAACCTTGTCACTCGCTTTCTCTCAATGCAAAGCTCCACCCTCTTGTCTAGCTAGAGGGCCTGAAGTTCCCTTTGCACCCGGCCCCTGCCCCTGCTCCAGCGCCTTAGCACCGTGCCTGGAACACTTTCTATAAACCTTTCAGCGATTCATGCTCAGAAACAGCTCAGGTGCCACCCCCTGCCAAAAATCTGCCTGGACTCCCTAGGTCAGGTTCCCCAGGACTCCCATATCCCCTTGTGGATTCACATGCATCCAGTGTGTCATTTACAGTGTTATTTTGAAACGGTCTGCTGATGAGTCAATTTTTCATACTAGACTTGAGATCCTGGGGGCAGCAACTCCGTCTTAGCACACCTGTGCACCCCTAGCACCTAGCACAGCACCAGCACCTAGTCGGTGCTCAAGGAGTGATTTTCAAATCAACCCAGACCCTGTGCATCCACAGTCTGAAATGCTTTTACACTGTTCTCTCCAATGAATTAATCCTACCTCTACTCCATGCCCCAGCTCTGGGCCTTAAGGCAAATGCAGAAAGCTATGGTCTGGGTTTCAACTTGTCACAGAATCAAAATCTGCAAGGATAAGTAAACTTCTGAGCAGGCGGCTGGTGGCCAATCTGATCCAGGGTTCTTATTTTATAGATGGACCAATGAGGTCTGGAGATGGGGGTGACTTGCTCACATTTCACAGGGAATGAAAGCAGAGCTGGGGCAAGATTCAAGTACTCCTGATTCCATTTCAGGGTTCTTACTCTTTACTCCATGCCTGAGTCCTGCAGGGAGCTGGGTGAGGAATGGGGGGTGGAGGTGGGGGTGCAAGAGCAGAGAGATGCATGGGCCTGAGCCACCATTAGAAGCTGATGGGCACAAATGGTTCTCATCCCCCAGTCCCCCTTCCCCCGGGAGAGTGGCTCCAGGCTGTGAGTGGGGCCAGGACAATCTTTTTGCTCAGCTGGCAGTGCTCCTGCCTCCCCAGCCTTTTGTCTTTAATCATGTTTGTTGGACAGTCTCAAAGTGTCTGGCGACTTTTTCAAAAAGAAATTAGACTTGGGAGCTGGAAGAGGTGGGGCAGGACGTGTGGGGGGTCGGAGGGGCAGAGCAAGGCAGGGTGATGGGAAATGGTGCGAGGATCAGGGCACATGGCTCCCATCTCAGCAGCCAAAATGATGAGGCCAATTCAATTCATAGCCTCTCAGAGTTCACAAAGAATAGACTTTGCAGATAATTGACCTGATAAATCAAGGAAAGGTTTTTCTTTTCCCTGAATGATAGGGCAATAAGACAATTTAATGACCATCTTCAAAGCTGTGAAGGGCTATGAGAGAGAGCAAGATGATTGCCTCTTTCTTTCTTTTTCCTTAGAAAAGAAA